TTTTTTTTTACGAAGATACCTGTAATTCGTCTCAATATGCTTACCATGATTTCAATCAACAAAAATAATAATTTCTAAAATATGATCTCAAGAAGAATCAAATCTTTAGATTACGAAAAAATATACTCAGGAAATGAGAGAAACTCTTAGTGTTGATATAAACGGTCGTTTTGTGAAGATTTGAAGTTCGAATTTAAAATTCAGTGCAAGAGATACGATAAGAAGGAAGAACAATTTGAATAGAAAACACAACTCTATCTAAATGATATTTGTGACTTTTTTCTTAATAGGAAAACTTAATCTTAAAATTCGCTTGACATACCCACTCACGAAGATTTTTCTTCTTAGCAAATTCACACTGTAAAGATAACAGAAGAATGTAGTTTAAATTGAAAAGGATTCTTTTTTTTTTCCGACTATGATAAGAAAAATCATTCACGATAAATAATTCGTTTTAACTCACTACAGTGAATAGCAAAAGAATTTATAGAGTTGCCGCACTTTCGTAGTTCGGCGTCAACTAAAGCGTATGACAGAAGTAATGAAAGAACACAGCTGTTTTTTTGTTGTTATTTATATTTGGAAACAAAAACATAATATCATATTAACAACATTTGTATTTGTAGTGGTGTGTTTTATTTAGTAAACACTTGTTAATCGCTATGCGATTATTTATTGTTTTTTCACAGTTATTTCTCCTTTCTGGGTAGTAATGTGAACAACTTTTACAAACATAGTACGTCATCAAGCATTCCTGGTTGGTCAGCTTTTTAACAAACGCACGAACAAAAAAAATATTTTTTTATTAATTTTACAAAATCGCGTTCGGCTATGTTTGGGAAAAAGTGAAACAAAAAAAATTTAGTAAATTAAATATCGTCCAGAGTTTTTGGGTTTTGGTAATAGAATGTTTGGTTTGAGTGATTGTTGCGATTGCCTTCAACGTAGTGGTTATCAGCAAATTTCCGTTGGTCATGGTATGTTAATTATGCAAAAGAACTATGCCATCGTTAAGGCAAAACTGTTCTTCTCTTTGCTTTAGGTCCACGATTTGGCGTACGGCATATACAATGTATTTTAGTGTTTTGTGGGTTAGCTGTTGCATATGCCCTTAGAGTTAATTTATCGGTGGCTATTGTTGCCATGACGGATAGAAATGCTACAAACCCAGATTTTGAGGTAAGAGTGCCCGCATATGCCAATAAGAGATCATTGTTTAAGCGTAATTTTTGCATTTCAGGAATTCAATTGGGATGAAAGTATTAAATCGTATCTATTAAGCAGTTTTTTCTGGGGTTATGTCGTTACACAAGTGCCCGGCGGTTATCTATCGCACAAATATGGCGCCAAGTTTACATTTTTATGGGGCATCTTAATATGCTCTCTATTGGCTTTGTTAACACCATTTTGCGCTGAAATCGGTGGTTGGGTTTTCGTGTTGGCTTTAAGAGCTACTCAGGGCCTCTGCCAAGGCATGATATTCCCATCGACGCATACATTCCTTTCGAAATGGGCACCGGCTGAAGAACGCGGTCGTTTAGTTACATATTGTTATTCTGGAGCACAATTCGGTACTGTGATTATGTTGACAATAAGCGGTTTTATAGCCTCCTCATGGATGGGTTGGCCTAGTATATTTTACATAAGCGGTTTCGGAGGCTTACTATGGTGCATATTTTGGTACTTATATAGCTACAGCACACCAGCTGACCATCCTACCATAACGCAAAATGAAAGAAGATATATTGAAACGTTTGGTCAACCCAGGAGGCAATCTTCAGTTGGCGTCAGGAGGGAATCATCTACTATGAGAACACCCTGGTGTCAGATTTTTACTTCTGTTCCATTCTTAACATTACTGATAGTGCATTGTGCGAATAATTGGGGCTTTTGGACTTTATTAACTGAGATACCAACATATATGAAAACTATCTTAGGCATTGACATACGCAATAATGGCCCATTGTCGGCTTTACCATATTTCGCTATGACTGTTTTAGCATTTTTATTCATCTTTGTCGCTGATGTACTAAATCGTGACGGTGCAATGCCTTTGGCCTTTTCACGTAAACTATTCAATACGCTTGGCATGTGGATTCCTATGGTCGCTTTAATAGGTCTGGGTTATATAACTACCAGTCAAAGTACGAAATTAGCCATTACATTGCTAACTGTTGCTGTGGGTGTTAATGCAGCTACATATTTGGGCTTCCAAGTTAATCACATAGATTTATCACCAAATTTTGCTGGCACCTTGATGGGTCTTACCAATTGTGCCGCTAACATCATGAGTATTATAGCTCCACTTACTGTCGGTCTAATAGTCACCGATGAGGTACACATATATATATATATATATATATATCAATCTTTTTTGAACATATAATAATTTTATTAAATTTACAGGAGAATCCTTTACAATGGCGTATAGTATTCTATTTAACAGCTGGCTTTTATTTTCTGGGCAATTTACTATTTCTTATATGTGGGCGCACAAGTCCTCGCACTTGGAATTTTTCGTCAACCGATTCCGACTCACATTCCGATTATAGTTCACTGTCTAGCAATGATAATCTCAATGAAACTGAACCTTTACAGCATCATTCTAATTCTTAGATCTTAAAATATTTTAACCAGAAATGCTTTTAAAGTGAAACTTCTAAACTATTAATGGGTGCTAAGCATATGATTTTTTTTTCTCATATTTTCTTAAAGTTGCAATAAGTTTATCTATGATTCGGAGAATATAAAGAGTTATCTAAAGTTACTTAAATTAAATCGAATATAGTCTTATAAAGATGAGAATGTGTTTTATTTCGCTGGTTCGGCTTTGAAATAAATAAACTTTTATATGGCAAACGTTTTGATTTGACTGAATTGTTATACTAGTAGTGTGCCAAAAAGAAGTCTATTAGTTATCGAGCCTCACCGCGACGTAATTGTTGTTGTCTTTCTCATGACCCTGCGAAAGACGACTGTTTCAAGTTCTCTCGTTCTCGTATAAGCCTTACATGTCATCGTCTTTAAGACTTTGAACGAACTACGCCGCCAAGCGATCGCAAGGGGAAGCAATATGTCTTTCATTACTAAGTAATCTTTCGATTACTTTTACTGAGCATCGGTTTGCATTTTATTCCACGTAACTTATACTGCATGAATATGCAAAAACCAGATAGACTCGTAATAGACCCATTTTTTATTATACCGATCCGTTCAGGATCGCTTTTTACTTGTTCGTCTGTCTTGTTTTCATGCATCCAATCTACAGACCGAAATTTCTGAGATATATTGATAAAGTTTCACACACTCTCATTGCCACATTGACTTGTTTTCGCTCAAGGACGAATGCTACTGAGAGTGGTTCGAATCGGATCATTTTTCGACCCTTTCCCATATAGCGGCTAAGGTGGAGCAGGATATTTAATAGTCAGCCATGGCCCTATACTATAGCCTTTTTATTGGTTTTTTTTTATAGAAGGTTTAACTTTCTCTTTGAACAAACCCCCAACTTCTTGTTGGTCAATGCGAACAAGTACACATTCTTAGACGAATTTTTTGTTCTAGCACGAGGACCAAAAAAAATTCTTTTAGTTTTGATTAGTTAGTTAATTTAATTCATGTTCCTGTTACCCAGCGTGCATTAAAATTTCAACGTAATTTGAAGTTTTGAGGAGCTAGATGCCAAAAATTATATAGGCAACTTGAGAAGTCAGAAAAACAGCTGCTAATAACAGATTTTATAACAACAAAAAAAACCAACGAGGACGTTAATAACAAATTCTTTGTTTGAATCAAACACAACATCTGCACCAGAGATATGTGCTAGTGATAGGATTTTTCTCCAGTCCGTAAGAAGCGTGCATGCTTGTTATCAAGTAACGATGAATAGAGAATGAATAGCGAAGGATAGCTGCGGAATTTGTTTTTATTCTTAATATCAATTGAAATTTTTACATGTTGCATTTATGAACTAAATTTTCACTGCACATTTATTTTAATTTTGTTTTTTTTTTTTTTTTTGTTATAAATATGAATTAT